GAAAAGGAGAAAATCAAATTAATCACAGGATTCCATAATGAGTGTTAGAAATAAATATCTGGGGGCATTTAGGGATTCATTTATCCAGTAATATTTCCGTGTGTCCATAATTAGTTAGAACTTAAGAATTATCAGGTGGCATTTCCCATGGGAAGGGAAGAGAGAGGATAAAAATGGAAGACAAAGCCAGAAATCCAGAATTCTAGATTTTCAGCCTTATCCTTAGGAAGCATGAGGACTCTGATTCTGAAGATGAGGGTGAAAAATACCTAGGTGACCCCAAAGCGCTTAGATTTTCTGCCTTAGCAGTGGACACTTCCAAGTCCAGACATCCCCAACTGAGGTGGAGGACATGGCTTGATACTCAGGTACTGGCACTGGAGAAGTGAGAGAGATGACTTCCTCTTCAAAGGCACTAGGGTTGACCTAATCATCCTTCCCCATTAAGGCCAAAAGCTAAGTGGATTTAAGTGGAAAGCTCTGAGTTATCCAGGATTAAAGAGCTCAGCCTGTGGAGTTATTTTTGCTTGTTTGTTTTTGTTGTTTTTGTTTTTTGTTTTGTTTTGACCAAAGTAACTCCTGGCCTGAAGGGTTCTTTGTCTTTTGATCACCCTTGCTGAGCCTTTATCTTCTGATTTTCAAATTACTCAAGACTCAATCCTCTTGTGCCCCTCCCTTATTTGATATGTCTGTCAATGCAGCCTATCAAGTGGGGCTCGTAGCAACCTCACTATGCTGTAGATATTGCCTCGTGAGACAGAGTAAGCCAAGAAACCTCATACTCTGTGCCCCCTGGGAAAGCTTCTACCTGCCGGAGACAAGACCGGGGCATGAAGAGCAGTTGGTTCTGGCCATGTTGTATTTTTTCATCTATCAAGTATTTACTGACTGTGGGCGGACTGTCGGGCTTTAAGATCAGTTACATTCTACTCTTCACTTGACAGCTGACCCCATAGGAGCCATGGAAGTGATTGTAAGCAACACTTTTCTCCCTAAGAGACACACCCAAGGCAGAGAGGCGATATGCCAGCATCCATCACCTCCTTAAGGAATATTATAACTAGTCATAATCACTCTCACAAAATAAATGATTAAAACTTATTAACATAGTCACTTTGCATCTAATTTATTCTAAAAGCCTTCAATGAACCCTTTAGGCCAGGACAGTAACTGTGTAGCACAGAGGCTTATCTTCTACCTATGGCAGATACAGTTGATTAACCAAATCTCTTGATTTCCGGTGTGGCCAGAAACCTACTCAATATGAACATGATTCAACAACCATCATATGATGAGAATTGTCATCATATAAGGTAAAACTAATTTTCCATCCTTGCTTTAAGTTGTTAGATTTACATGATAACATTGTTTCTCCCATACCCGCTAAGAGAAAATGTAGAACAATATTTCCCCTCCAAAATTCTGAAGTATGTCTTGAAAGGTAATTGTCATACATAAATTGAACTAGTCTACTGATTAAGAAATAGGTTATATATATTATTTCTTTGCACTTTTTTTCACCTGTTAAATAATGTTTCACTAAAAGCAGCATCACCATATAATAGCCATTAAGTTGCAATACATCTCTCAGTAACGCTGCCGAGTAGTATCTGACCAAGTCAGCTTATTCGAGATGGAAGTCAGTTTACTATTTAACAGGATTTTGGGTGCCAAAGGGCAGGAAGAGAGTTTTCTCAAAGGAGCTGGTTATAGGACTTTTTATTCTTAAGACTTTAATCACTGAAAGAGGATAGTGAACAGAATAATGTTTAGTCAAAACAGCGTTTGAAGTGAGAGCTCTATTTCTAGGCATACCTTTCTCCTTCATAGAAGCTTTATCCAAAACATAGATTAGTTCATAGAGTCCTCCTAGGGACCCAGAGCTGCTGTAGTGGGTTCCATAGGTTTCCAAAAAGGCAAAATATTCTCCCTTTCCATAGGTAGCTGGCAAAGCTTTTATGTCATCCAAGAAAGTTGTTGTCAGTATAACATCTCGACTTCTCATTAC